TGAGGAATTTTCCCCACAGAATAGCATGATTAAAATTGTCAAGGCAACATCCCATAAAAACAACAATTTACCCACCATTTCCTATATAAAGAATGTCAAAGCCTGCTGCATACATCTGCTCCCACCCCTCCCCCTGCAGGGAAGATTCGGTGAGGAATTTTCCCCACAGGGGGAGTGGTGGGAACCTACGTACACAGGCTAAGAATGTTAATACATCATGTCTTACCCCATAATCAATTCCTGGACGATTTAGTCCAATATTGATTGTGTACGTAGAGGAGTCATGATGTGGACGCARATAGTACTGTCCTGATGGTGTGTACTTAACCACAAAGTTCATTATTGCACGACCCTGGTAAGTATCCAAAAAGAGCTTGTTAGAATCAGAAAAAAGGCTCAATGTCTGTTATGAAAAAGCAACCTACATCTGAATAATATCCAGGGAAAAGTCGATTATTGATAGGGACGACATACTTCTTGAGTGTGTGCAGCCATTCTGCTTCATATCCAACCTACCAAACAATGAATTATTAATGAGAAAGTCTTTTCTGCAACATTCTTTCATATAATGATATTTGGCTTCTCTTTTCTCCCATTCATCCATTTGTTCATTTATCTGAATATTCACTCATTTCTTCAGTCATCCATCCCATTCATCCATTTGTTCATTTATCTACCCACTCTTCTGTCCATTTCCTTTTTGTCCTTTCAGACAACCATTCATTTGGTTTTTCATTTATTGATTTGTTCACTCATTCATGCAGTTATTTACTTGTTCATGCATCCGTTTATCTAACAAGCTATATTTATCGATTTATCCACAGTACTCACTCAATTCCTTCCACATTCACCCATTCATATATTCATCATTCAGGGTACCTGGTTCATGTGTATATCRACTGTAGGGACATTCTCATAACCACCAGCCAAACGTGCATCTTCATTTTTCCCTCCAGACCATTGCCCATAATTCTCCATTTCTTCAATCATGTGTTTTGCCCATGTCTCAGAGTAAAGTGGGAACCAGAACACATCATTGCATGGCTGAAACAACAAGAATTAATCAAGATAAGTTGAATTTTTCAGTTGCGAATGTGACAGTTGAGACAAAATAAGAAGTACAGTATACCTGTTCGATAGGAATGCTTTCATTCAAGTTTTGAGAATAGTTTGGATGTAGATATCTTTCTTCCCAATCCTAAAATAACAACATGGAAATTTTACTGGAAGACCAATGTAAAATGCAAACTTCATAATTCCCATGCATGCTCCCAAGAGACTGCAATAACATGCTTAAACCTTGGCTGAAACCCTAAAAGCATCCATGGCTTTGGGGAGACATTAAACGTTTTCTTTTGAATGTATGTTTATAAAGCATATGTGACGCATCTTATGCCTATATCAGATAGTAAGCTCAAGAG